GCGCATGGAGAAGCACCGTACGGGACATAAGTGAGGCCGGCTAGATCAGTCGTGATCGCAGCCGCAACAAGTACAAATAGCTAATGGCTTTTAAAAGCCTTTTTATAGCATATTTACTACATAGAGGTCATGATCTACTCTGAAAGTGCAACTCGGCGAGACGTAAGGCCTTACCACGCATCATATTTAGTCCTTATAACCTTCTATTAGTGTGGCAGACGCACTACTTCCTTGAGTTGGGCTACCGTTCTGTTCGGGCTCCATTGTTGTCTCACTGTTCGTGGTATTAGTGGCCGTACTGTCGTCTTTTACTTCTGCAAGGAGTTGCCTTGGCTGGATCCCCCATTACACAAGTTAGAGTCAGAAACACAACGCAAAATTTTTGTTCCTTAACTCGGTCGCTGAGTGCCACTCTACCATTGTTACTATACCCAATGGCAACCTATATGACAGAGAGCCTGTGGCTGAATAATTAGCATATTGTACTTCTAACAGCAGGTTGAAAGTTGGATGCTTTGGGGCTGTGTATGGCTAGAAAAAGTGTCGGAAGTGTAGCTGTGGAAAAGATAATGTCAATAGATTAATGGAGGATAACCGAGTAATCAGCTAGAAATCTTCGGGAACGACATGTTTGTAGACTCTGACCCCCGAGTCCTAGCTTATTTGAATACTCACACTGAAAATCCCAAGAGATCACGATCAGCTCTTGTATGTACTCGTCTTTTTTTTCAGGTTGAAACAAAAAGTCTTCATCACTATTACACCACCAGCTCACATTGGATTGCTTGTTTGCGGCTGATTAGCTGCCGTGACACCACTGACGTCCACTGCTGGGTGGATTGGGTCTGCAGGCATAACTGGCAGTAGGCAGTAAGTAATAGAGCTAGTGAAAACATGCATCTTCACTTTGCTGTTGCACAAGAATACGCTTTAGGCCACTGCTGGCGCCCTTTTGTGAACTGAACGTGAGTCAACCTGTAGGGTATGCCTATAACCTACTTCTATGAAGCAGTCTCTACATGCTGGGTCTGCAAACGCCCTTAGCTACTGTCTTGTATACGTGAAGTACGCGTTCGGCGGAGGCTTGCTGACGATCGAGTATGTGACCGCACGCAGAAAACAGGAGGTAAGGAGCCCTCAGATACAGGATTGGTGGGGTAAACAAGACTGACACATAGCTGATTTCGGGCAGCAAAAGAAAAAAAATTGTGTGTAGGACATTAGTTTGTTAACGTACTCTGACAAAGCGTAAACATGCGGGCGTACGACGTCAAATACTAAAAAAGTAGAAATTGGTTGACGGGCGGAAGATTGCCAAAACGTGAGGCGTTAAGTAGAAATTCCAGGCGAACTGATTCCAGACCGTAATGCTCAATAAAATGGAGTAAGTATCCGAGTTGCAAAAATGTCCATCATAGAAC